AGATATATGAGAAGGAAAAGAGAGAGAGAGAGAGAGAGAGAGAGAGAGAGAGAGAGAGAGAGAGAGAGAGAAAGAGAAATCGGATGGAGACGACTTAATAGGACACCAACAGCCGATGTTCAGTCGACCGACAAGTTAACAAATTGCTTAGATATGGGATTAAAGGCGCAGCGCGGTGGATTTTGATAGCTTGAAGAAATATAGAAATTCCAAAAATTGGTGTTCTAAAAGTTCAGAAAAAAATCAAAATTTTCAGAAATTCAGAATGTTTTTTGAAAATTAGAAATTCTGAACTTCAGAAGTTCAGAAATTCCTGGAAAACCGTAAATTTTTTCGAAGTTCAAAACTTTTTGAAATTCAGGAAATTTTCGGAATTCCGAAAAAATCTAGAAAATCTAGCACACACTTTTTTTAATGAAGTAGGCATGAATTCCGAAAATTCCAAAAACTTTTTTGAAAACCAGAAGAAATTCAGGAATTCCTGGAAATTCGAAAAATTAGGAATTTCTTAGAAATTCGGAAATTCTAAAATTCAAAAATTTCAGAAATTCAAGATTCAATTTTTTCAAAATTTTCCAAAAATTATTGTACTTTAAAGGTGGGGGGACAGGAGATTTTTCGTAGTTTTTTTTGTAGCTAGAGTATGCATTCTACCGTGACGGTGTACAACGCTTAATGTCACTCTGCGTACAGCTGTCGTCCTCGCCTTTATGTATGCAATCGGGCGAGCGCTTTCTCTTTGCCCGCGTGGCTCAGTCGGTAGCGGCGCCGCACCCTTAATCATCGCCCTCACAAGTTCAATTCCTCGAGGGGCATCTTTGAACGGAATTTCGAGAACATTATTTTTTTCATGTCCCCCCACCTTTAAAGAAAAAGAAAAAAAAGAAAGACCCTCGTAATTCGTCATTATACTGTCCATTCGGAGATATTCGAAAATCCCGGATTTTCTATTTTTTTTGTCTAGGGATTACGGTAAAAGGGAAAAGAGATTAGAAATCCGGAAGTCTTTTGGTAGTTTTTTGACTTTCAAAGCTCTAAAAAAGCAAAAAATAACACATTTCAAATTAGAGAAAAAACAGCCCAAAAAATCTTTTATTCTCTCATTTAAAGTTTCGCTAATTTAGTCTTGATCCACTCAATATCCGCTTGTCCAACGGCCGTCAAAATGACCGGAATCGAAATGCTCACAACGATGAGGGTCAGAAAAATGGCACCGGACAATTGACAAATGTCCAGGGTATTCGGACGTTGACTGATTGCGTTTCCGTCGAGATAGCAACTTTCCATGCGACTCTGTAAAAAATAAAAGAATTTTAGTGCGATTTAAAAGTTTTGAAACTTAAAAAATTAAACTCTACGCCTCCAAAAACCTATACAAGTCAAAAGGAATCGAACTTGCAGCTCTTTTGCTCCAAAAGTTCACCCTTTTACCGGTTGCGCCATCAGAGTGCCGCCCGACGTTTGGCAAGGATAGCGCAGGCGGGAAGAGGATTAACTTTGGAGCGGGAGACCCGAAAGTTCGATTCCTTTTGGGGTATATAGGTTTTTTAGGACGTAGAATTTCAATTTTTGAGATTTAAAGCTTGAAAATTGGCCTGAAAGCCGTATTCTTGATTTCGGACAGTTTGAAAATCGGGTTTTTTTTGGATTTTTTTCAATGCTAAAAAGGCTCTGGCATAATAATTTTTAGACAAAGTTTGCTGGAATATTTCTGCTTCTTCGAATTTTTTTCAGGCCTTTTTGAACCTACCTTCTCTGCAGGCTCGGTCATCACTGATCTCACACTACTCTTTCCTTTTCTTCCCTCCGCAACACTTTTTGCAGTCGGCTCAACACTCGAATCAGTTTCGGTGTCCGCTCTCTTTGGCACCGCCTTTTTTTGGTTCACAATCGCTGGAAGTGGTTTAGCAGTGGGCGGAGCTACAGTAGGTTTTTGTCCAACTGCCAACGGTGGTCCGATTGGAGCCGGAGCGAATGGTCCTTGAGCCGGACCCATCAATTCGTATCCATCGTCAGCCATGATTTTTTGTTTCGATATTTAAATGAGAAACTGCTTATGGAGGAAAAATATGTTCAAATTTTTGGGGGAAAGGACACTTACACAGTATTTGGTAGAAAGTTGGAAAGTAAGGGATTGGTATTTGTATATATTGTATCTCGGTTACAGTTAATTTATATGAATTGTGACACGCGAGATTTTTTAATTTGTTTGGAATTTTCAAAATTTTAGCTCTTTGGAGTTTTTTGGAACTTTTTTAAATTTCTGAGTCTGATTAAATGTTCGAATTTCAGAGTTTCTAAATTTCAGAAAGTCACGAATTATCAAAAAGTTATAAAGTTATGTTTTTTTTTCTTCCTAAAACTTTAGTCTATTCTATGCAGAATCTTATTTTTCTTCATCTCAGATTTCACAATTTTTGTTTCAACAAAAAAAAAGAAGATAGTTGTATTATTCTTTTTGGTTTCTTTCCCCCGAAAATTCTCCATAGAAACATCTGAAAACAATTGGCGGGTCGTCATGGACCATTAGAATATTCTAGGAATATTCTAGGAAAGCAACTGACACTCATAAAACCTTTTTCCCCCAAAAAGAAGAGCGAAACTTCATTTTTTCAAAAATCCTCTAGAAGAAAAATGGAAAAAATGAGTTTCATTTTGACTTTTGCGATTCTGATGACTGCTACGTCATCGGTAGATGGACTGAAATGCCATCAATGTGGAGGAGCTGAGAAAATACCGAAATTCGCTAAAACTGCACTCAGCAAATTGAATATTACTGTGGATAGTGTGAGTTTTTGGGGTGTTTTGAGAAGATTCTGAAATTCTGAAATGCTGAGGTTCTTAAGATTCTGAGATTTTGAGATTTTAGGATTCTAGGATTATGATATTCTGAGATTCTGTGATTCTGAGATTCTGAGATCCTGAGATCCTGAGATCCTGAGATTCTGAGATTCTAAGATCCTGAATTTCTGAGATTCTAAGATCCTGAAATTCTGAGATTCTGAGATTCTGAAATTCCATTGAATTCTGAAAAATTCAAAATTTTTGGACTTTCTGAATTTCAAAATTTTTGAAAATTCCAAATCTCAAAATCTCAGATTTTGCGATTTTCAGATTTAAAAAAATCTCAAAATCTTTTTTTCTAAAAATCTCTCATTTTCAGCTCTTCGGTGACTGCAAAAAGACATCAGGCAGTGATATGTGCACCAATGGAACGTTCTGCATCAAACGAGCCAGTAAGGGATTACTGTAGTTTTCAAAATTTCCAAATGTTGCCAATTGTTTTCAGAAGTCTACCAAATCGGTTACAGTGGTGTCAATCTGAAATGGACTAGTTATACCAAGGTTTGAGGGACTAGTTTTGGTTTTCTAGGCCACCACCAATTTTCAGGGTTGTGCTACTCTGCGAGAGGATAATCTCGGAGTTCCAAGCAACCAATGCTATGAGCTCGGTGATGTGAGCAACTCAACCAATGGATACACTGCTGTAAGTGATGGCCTAACTTTTACAGAAAACTAGGTCACCTTATTATTTCTTGAATTTCAGAAACGCGTCGATTGCTACTGCAATAAGGACTTCTGCAACTCATCTCAAGGACCCTTCTCCACGATAATGATGACAATTTTATTGGTTCTCGTTAAAATCTCTATGTGAAAACCTAAATGTATATAAACAATAAAATAAAATAGTTAAACAACGCGTTGATAACTTCTTCGGACACTTCTCTTCTTTCGTCTCAAAACTTGCAGTTTTTTGAAGCATTCACAGGCGGTACGGAGGGATTTACGGGAATCCATTTGAGGGAAACAGAAACCGCCTTCGGAACCCTGAAACAAATTTGGTTTTCGAATTTTTTTCGAGCAAGAATTAGTTTCCAGAGCCATTTTTGAGGTTTGAACCCCAAAAAATTGAGTTTTACGCACTTAAAAACCTATTGAAGCTTGAAGGAATCGAACTTGTCGGGGTCTACGCTCCAAAGTCAGTCGTCTTCC